TTGATTTTTTTTCCTTCAACTCATCTTCCCTCTCCTATTTACAAAGCTTTATTTCCATTTTATCCTTTTTTAAATCATTTTTTCCTTTTCCCTTCCTTCCCTAACACCTTCCCCTTCTACTAGTTTTTTCCTTTGAACAATTCCTTTCTGTTTCACAACATCTAGTGTACATTTTGGTTCTTATTTACTCTTAGTTTCTCACACCACGGAGATAATGCAACCATTTTCCCACCCCTAGAAACTTTCTTTTTTTTTAAGTTTATTTATTTATTTATTTTGGCAGAACCAGGGATTGACATTTTTGTTTTGTTCTTGTTTGGTTTTTTTTGGTGGAACTGGGGATTGAACTCAGGCCCCTGTGCTTGCCAGGGAAGCACTTATTCCACTGAGCCATCTTCGCGGCCCAACTTTTTTTTTTTAAAGACAAGTACAAATTAAAATGAATCCATTCCTACTTTTAAGTACTCAACAGAAGACTTGGAGAAAAAAAAAGATCTGGAGCAGAAAAAGAATTTAGAGGGGCCGGGGAGATGGCTCAGTGGAATAAGCGCTTCCCTGGCAAGCGCAAGGGCCTGAGTTCAATCCCCAGTTCCGCAAAAAAAGAAAAAAAGAATTTGGAACTATTATGCAAAATCAAATTAATGATAATACATAGAACTGTTCACATTATTTCCACCTCACAATGGAAGAGAATTAAGCATGATACAGAGCCATGTATAGTGACAAACAGGCTGAGGCAGGAGCTGGATTTTTTTTTTCCGGTACCAGGGCTGGAACTCGGGATTTTGCATTTACCAGGCAGGTGCTTATGCCACTGAGCTACCTCCCTGGCCCAAGGCAGGAGGATCATGAGGTCTAGCCTACTAGCACAGGCTAAATGACAAGATCCTGTCCCAAAACAACAGAATATTTCTATGATGAATGTCATTGTTATGTATATTTATATAAAATGTACAAATAAAAAAAGACAAGGGGTCAGAGATATAGCTTAAGTGGCATAAGCACCTGCCTGGCAAGCGCAAGGTCCTGAGTCAGATTTCCGGTACAAAAAAAGAGACAAAACAAAACCAAAGGTGGGGTTGATAACTGAGTTAAATACTGAAACATTACTTATCAGATTCTCCTTTAATTTTGATTATGGCTTGGGAGGTGAATGACATACTTTAGCCTGAGACAACTCTTCTGAATATCCACTTAGTTCTTTCATAGTTAATAAGCAAGGAATGCCACTTTTAATTAATTCCCTAAATAGTTTTTTGCTTTTTCTTAGTACTGGAGACAGAACTATATCCCCAGACACATATTTTTGTTGCTTTTATTTTGTTCTGGTTTGGTTTTGCTAAGACAGGGTCTATATATTCAGGCTCTGCTTGAACTCATTATCTATCCCAAACTGGCCTGAAACTCACATTGACCCTCTTGCCTCAGCCTCCCAAAGGTCTAGGATTATACAGTTTATTTTTTATTTTAACACAAGGTCTTTCTAAATCACTAAATGGCCCAGGCTGGGCTTAAATTTACAATCCTCTTGCCTTAGCCTCCCATTGTGCTAGAACTACAAGTGTACACCACTACACTTATATACTATATACTAGCTTATATGTGATTCTTTTTTGTTCGTTTGTTTTCTATCTATTTAGGTTTTGGTTTTTTTTTGGGGGGGGGTGTTTGTTTGTTTGTTTGTTTGGCGGAACTGGGGATTGAACTCAGGTCCTTGCGCTTGCCACAGAAGCGCTTATTCCACTGAGCCTCCTCCCCGGCACCTGTTTTCTGTCTTTTTGGGACAGGGTCACACTATGCAGCTCAGTTTGGCCTTGAGTTCACTGTATAGCCCCAACTGGTCTGGAACTCACAACAATCCTCCTGCCTCAGCTTCCAGAGTCCTGGGATTACAAGCGTGCGCCACCATGCATGGCATATATGTGATTCTTTACAAGAGGTTTTTCACATGGTTTAAGATTTTCCTGGAGGGCCGGGGAGATGGCTCAGTGGAATAAAGGCTTCCCTGGCAAGCGCAAGGGTCTGAGTTCAATCAAAGATGTTCCTGGAATTAAATGTTTCACTATCTCACTTTACAGAACATATGGACATAAAAATTATAATATTACAGTTAGAAAAATCATAAGCCTGTAATAAATGACCATTACCAAACACGAACTTCTTCCATCAGTTGCACACTTGGGACTAAATTAAAATGGCCATAATCCAGTTAGACCTGGAAGTTAGAGGAGGAATTAATGCATAGTGAGTAAGAATACAAATTCGGATCTGGGAATGGCAGGGCAAATTTATAATCCCAGCACTTGAGGCTGAGACAGGAATCTCAAATTCCAGTCCCACCTGGAGTAAGCAAGCACCTGCCTAGAAAGTGCAAGGTCCTGGGCAAGATTCTACCTGAAAATGAAAACAAAAAATGGACCAAAAGTATAGCTCAGCAGAAAGGCCCTGGGTTCAATCCCAAGTACTACCACCAAAACAAATTCCTCTGGATGGGTACAATGGCATCTGCCTATAATCCCTACTACTCAGGAATCTAAAGCAGGAAGATCCCAAATTCCAGCCCACCCTAGGCAATTCAACCAGACCGTCTCAAAATTTTCAAAATCAAATTTAATTCTAAAAGTTAGGACACACAGTTTAGGGCAAAAGCCCTGAACTCAATCCCCATTATGGAAAAAAAAGAAGCTCTCATATCAAGACTGGGTTCAATACCAGCTCCACTAACTGCAAGCTGTACAGTCTGGTTGACATTCTTCGATTTCTCTGTGTCTTGGCTTCCTCCTCATCTATAAAATGGTGAAAACCATGTAGTACCCATAGGTCTTTGAAGATTAATCAATACTACATAGGTAAAACAACAGTAAGCAGTTGAAGTAAGTTATGGTTATTACTATTATCACCAGGATCTACAAAAATTCAAGACCAGTGAGAAAAAGTGATCCTGGTATAAAATGAATTATTATATAAGAAAACATATACATAACTTATTTCCTGAAAGAAAGGGAAAAAAGTCAGGTGTCCTGGGTACTCAGGATGCGCAGGCAGGAGAATCACCTGAGTGCAACAGGTTAAGGCCAGCCTAGGCAACACAACGACAGTCTCAAAACATTGCAAAAAGGAAGAAAACCAGCTGGGTATATGGTGGCTAGCACATGTATTCCCAGCATGCAGAAGGCTGAGGCAGGAAGATCAATGCAAGTTCAAGACCAGTCTGAACTACACAGTGGGACCCTTTCTCAAATGTTTTTCTTTTTGTTTCTTTTGAGACAAAGTCTTGCTTGTCAGACAATACAGGTAATACAGGCGTGCACCACCATGCCTGGACCAGTCTATTTTCTTGACACAGGGTATGGCTAAATCACTGGGCTCAAATTTCTAATGCTCCTGCCTCAGCTTCCCAGCGATAGGATCACAAGTCTGCACCACCATGCCTGACCCAACTTACTGTTTAAATGTAGATTTGGGGAGGTTTACTAAAATCTAGAAGTCATATTTAACTATAAGGTACATCATTCATGTACACATATGAAGACAAACATGTAATAACCAGCCACCAAGTTGTACTAGTTTTCTCTTGGACAGGCTCAATACCACATGAATGAAGGTTACACTTGCATCAATAAACACAAATTCCAAATGAAAGTCACAACTTTTACACAAGGATCTGTAGGAGCTATGTTGTCAGTGTGGTGGCACAGGCCTGCAAACCCAGCTTTGAGAAAATGAGGTAAAAAGATCAGCCCGTGTTGCAGACCCACCTGGGCTGCATAGCAAGATCCTGTCGCAAAAAGAAAAAAGAAAAAGAACCATGTTTTTTCCTACATAAGGAAACCATCATTATCTACCTCCTGCTTGTTAATGCATAAAAATAGGCATATTATCCAATTCTACATTCTAAGTAAAGTTCTCTGAAAACGTACGTAATAAGATCATCGAATGCAAACTACTAATTGTGAGCCATGCTCCATAATTTTATTGTGCACCAAGGCACCAAGGATGCATCTCAGGGTAGAAAAATTTGATTCACTTTGTGGGATTAAAAGTCATATATCAAACTACCTGAAAAGCAAGCCAGCCACCTATATAAAAATGTTACACATTTCATATTAACTACCCAAATTTGACAGCCGAAAAGAAATCAGAAACTCCTGAAAAACAGCCTCAAACTAACTGGCTCATTGGTCAGAGGCTGCCTGCCAGGCACAGCTACACCAGCGATAAATCTTCTCACGAATCCAGGTTAACCCATTCCCCAGCCTTCACGGGATAAATTTCTTAAAAACAGGATCTAATTAATTCTACTTTAAATTGGCCCATCAAGATGGACTTCACCTGAGATTGTGCTCTGGGTTCTTCTGAAAGCATAATCCTGAGTTAGTATCACCCATCTAGGGTAAATCCGAAGACATCCTCCAGGATTCTGGAGTAAAGGAATCCAGACAACTGGCAAGACAACACCTTCCTCCAAAAATTAAATAGTAAATGGAAAATAAGATCGCCACGAGCTGCGCGGGGGAGGGTAATCCTTCGGAGCCTAAGTACTTCTCCAGCAATCTAAATGCCAGTAAATCATCCCAGCATCTCACATCCTCCCGCCCGCGCGTCCGCCCTTCCCCCTCTTCCAGCCCTCCCCCCTTCTGCACGCAGTTTCTGGGCCCAACGATTGGGAAGAATGACCAGGTTAACAAACACCGCCTCTGTCTTCAGGATTTCAAGGGTACGGACAACCAAAGGATAAACAGAGGAGGCAGCCAAGCCTCGCAGCAAGGAGAGCGTGGAAAAGCACCTCAGCACAGGCCGCGCCCCCCCATCACCCCCCGCCGCCCGCTGGAACCTCCCAACGAAATTCCGAAACCCTTCTCACCTAAAGAGAAAAATGGTGCCTCTTTCCGCTAAGCAACACTTAGGCCTAACCCACCAAGCAAAAGTGCTCCCAAACACTCGATGCAGCGGTGCCTAGGCCAGCTCGTTGAGGCCCATGAAAAGGGTTTGCGCTTTACCTCATGGGCTCAGCAGTCATGTTTTCGCTTGAACGCCTTGTGGCTTCTGCGACACTTGAGCGCCGATATGCGCACCTCGGCACCGGATTACGACAGAAATGCACTGGAGTCTTAGCAGTCACTGTAGCTGGTGCTGGGTCTTCCCCGCAGCTCAAAGGCCGCTACCACTGTCACCGCCGCAGGAGCCGCGGAAACAAAGCGACGCCGCCGCCGCCGCCATTTTGTAGGGCCGAGGCTAAGGCAAGAGAATTGGCGCGTCCTCCCTCTTCCTCTTTCCGTCGTCCATTGGCTACCTTCGCCACAGCGTGGGCTCCTATTGGCTATGGAAATTTACCTTCTGTGGGGGGCCTGTTGCTAAGGCGGTCGACGTCATTTGATTCCCTCCACCTTTTCGCAGGGGATCCAATTCAGTGTCTCTTGACCTGATTGTATTAGTGACACATTTTGACTCCAAATGCCCCTTTGGTCCATCTTCTGTTCTTTGGCATAAGTAACAAAACTAACAATTTACATTTATTGAGAATCTACTATAACACCAGACACTCCATTAGTCCTTTATCTGGATCATCTCATGCAATCCTTACACCCTCCAAAGTCGACACACCTACCTTTTCTGGATGAGGAAACCAAGACAAGAACTTCCAAAGTAGTGGAGTAGCTAGTCTGCACAAACACGGCAATATTAACACTAGTCTCTGCGGCCACTCTAAATATTTATACAAATACTTTCTTTTCATTATTCCAGGCTATTATCGATTTCTTCCCTAGATGTTTTATACATAATAACTAGCACGCCAACATATTCAGATATGTGTATATACACTTACATACATACATCATAAACCAACTTGACATTTACATAAAATTCTCATACTGAATAAACTCTATAAACAGGCACTTGGAATGCACACACACATTGATCATTTCTCCACTCTGTTAGAATTCTTAGCTCACAAACCCATCTAAATCTGTTTCCTCCTTGTAAAGGACATTTTACTTAAATGATTGCCCAAGTACTTCCAACTTTCATGTGCTTTGATTTGACACTGGCAATGTCTGCAAATCACATATCAAATCTCTAAAATTAAAGAGCCCTGCATGGTGATGGATGCCTTCAAAAAATCACAGCACTTAGGAAATGGAGGCAGGAGACTGGCTGAGTTTAAGGCCAGCCTCAGCCACATAGTTCAAGGGCAGCCTGAACTACATAAACAGAACCTGTGTCAAAATAAAATTACAGTATTCCCAATTTTAGTTCCAAATTTATTCTGCTGTGTGTATATTCAATCTAATTGTTTTCTTTTCCAATTTACTGTTTTTAAATTTTTCATAGATGCACATAACATGTTTTAATCAAATCTATTCTTATCACCCTTCACTACTGTTTATTTTCTTAAAATGTGAAAGAACTGTCATGGTTGGGTGACAAGGTTGGTGCTTTTACTTGAATAGCTAGAGACAAGCCACTGTCAAATAGAGCTTTCTGATAATATGATAGACTTAGGCAACTTCATTGGTTTTTGTTTTTTTCAGGTAGGATCCCCACTTTATAGTTCATGCTGACCTCCAGCTCACCACACTCCTCCTGCCTCAGCCTCCCAAGTGCTGAGATTACAGGCATGTGCCACTACACCCAGCCCGGCTGAGGCAACTTTTTAGTCAACATGGGCGAGAGAGATGGCTCAGTGGAATAAACGCTTCCCTGGCAAGCTCAAGGGCCTGAGTTCAATCCCCAGTTCCACCAAAAAAAATAAGTAAATAAATAAACGTTTCAGTCAACAGACACACACATTTCAAATCATCTTTCATAATATTCAAGTTCTATTGCCAAATATTGGGCCAGGGATACATCTCAATGGCACAGTGCCTGCCTGGCAAGTGCAAGGTACTGAGATTGATTCCTGATACCAAAAATAAAGTGAGACCATTGCCAACTGTAGAAACCAGATTCACAAAACCTTCTGAATCTTTTCTATTGATTTTCTTTTTTCTCTTCCATACATTAACGAGTACTTAAACACAATTTACAGAAATTATTTTTCCCCTTGGTAAATACAGTTAATTTGAAAGGGAATCTACGTCACCACAACACAAAAATATGCTTGCTCAGAAACAGAATTCATTATGGACAAAACAGTAAATAGTTCTTTTTTTTTTTTTTTTTTGAGACAGCTTCAGGCCATATAGCTTAGAATGAACTTGAATACACTATGTTGTGCAGGCTGGCCTTGAACTCACAGCGACCCCGCCCCCCAGCCTTCCAAGTATCTTCAACCTTAGCCTCTTCCCCTTCACCCCAACCTGGGATTGAACTCAGGCCCTTGCGCTTGTCAGGGAAGCGCTTACTCCACTGAGCCATCTCCCCTGCCCTTGCCTTAGCCTCTTGAATGCCACAATTTTAATGTGATTTAGAATTTTGTAGGCTGAGGAAATGGGTCAGTGGAATAAGCGCTTCCCTGGCAAGCACAAGGGCCTGAGTTCAATCCCCAGTTCCGCAAAAAAGAGAAAAAGAATTCTGTTTTATTTTGATATGATATCTCATTATGTTACCCAGTCTGACCTGAAACTCAGGATCCTCTTCCTCAGTTTCCCAGATTGCTGGGATTGCAGATGTGAGCCACCATGCCCAGATGCATTGGACATTTTAAAGCAGAGATGGTTGTTTCTGACTTTCTGTTTTTTATACATCAAACATCTCCCTGAGTCACATGGGGAGAAGATACTCTCTCAGGCTTTCACAGAGAGCACATTGGCCAAGCATTGGCCGTGACTCATCCACATGGCTGCACTGATAAAGGTTCTACAATCTGAGGTACAGGATCTCAGGACAAATCCTGAGGGCATTTCACTGACCTTCTCAGACCAAAAAGCTACAACTCTTGTTGCATAGGTCCTGCTTTACCTTGGTCTTAACCATCCAGCAGAAAAGTATGAAGACGAAATTATAAGAAATAAAGCCATGCTGTTAAGTTGAGCTGTGGGGGACTCAGGTCAATAATTTCTGACATTGCCAGTTAAACAGAAGACCCAATGCTATTATGGGCTACTGGACTCTTTTAGAATATTTTGCTGAGTTTACACACCTATAATATTCAATAACGGAACTTAGAAAAAATGGGGTATACAGATGAATGTCCATTTTGTATCTGTGTATTCAAAGTGGTTGGGATAGATATATAGTTACATTCTGTTAATGAATAGAATGATTTGTTCTAATGGTGTTTGTAAATAGGATCACAAGTCCACATCTTGTACAGCAATTAACCACTAAGAAGAATATATGCAGTGTATTATTTGTTGAAAAATAAAAATAAATAAAAAATAAATTAAAAAAAACATCTCCCTGCATCTCTCCTTCTCTCTCTCCCCACCTCTTTTTTTAAATTTAATAATTTATTTATTTGGTACAGTGACTCACTACACAGCTCAGACTCATAGTGATCCTCCTGTCCCAGCCTCCCCAGAACTGGGATTGTAGGTGTACACCACCATGCCTGGTTTCAGTGGTCTGCAGGGTACACCCTTGGTTCCAGGATGGGCTGGCATGCAACAGTGGAGATTGAACTCAGGTCTTTGCAGTTGCCAGGCATGTGCTTAGACCACCGAGCTATCTCCCCAGACTTCCACCTCTTATTTATTTCTGTATTTTTTGTAAATGCATTTGGTTATTGCATGGTTTCACTATGCAGCTTGCCTTGTGGTGAGCCTCCTGTTTTCAGCCTCCCCAGCACTGGGATTACAGGCATACACTACCACACCCAGACTCTGGCCCATTCAACTCACCCTGGGGGCAGGGCTAGAGTGACATATGGTGCCAGGGATCAAACTACCATCCCTTTGCTTGCCTAAGCTTGCCTAAGCAGGGGCTTTAGTCTGCTGAGCTATCTGGCCAGGCCCTGCAACAACCAAATACATTCACAAAAAAATAAAATAGCTATTGGTAACATCTTAACACTGAACAGATTTAACTGACAAATTCCACAAAGAGAAAAAGGAAAAAGAAAAATACATTAGCAAGCACAGTCACAGAATTTTAAAAATATAAAATAACTAGACCAAATAGTTCAGTGGCACAAGTGTCAGCCTGGCAAGTATAGGGTCTTGATTTCAAATGCTAGTAACACACACACACACACACACACACACACACACAGTATATATTGATTAAATGTAACTACATAAACTAAAACACCATGGTTATGACTCAAAAGAAAATTCTTGGGGCCAGGAAGATGGCTCAGTGGAATAAGCACTTCCCTGGCAAGCAC